TTAAGGAGAAAATTGCCCAATTCTCTAGTGGTTCCTTGAAGTGAGAGTAAGGAAATTCATGAGACATTCACGGTAACACTTCAGTAACCTCAGCCAACAGTGGGAACACAATCTAAAACAGAGAATATTTTTTGAAGAACCAGAGTTTATTACTTTCTGGCACATTCATAAACTAAAGCTGCAGACAAGGTGTTTTCATGTCAAGGGATCCTGGTCTGTGTTTATGTCTCATTTGTGATGGATGGGGAAGACACACAGGACATGAACATGCTGTAAGAAGCTTGTGTAAATACACTCAGAATATGAATCCTCTTAGGTTCTTTATTAACTTGTTTATTGAAATATTTTAAAGAGGTAAGCAGCACTTTAAAGTATTTAAATGTTCAAGGTTGAGTCAATAATACCAAAGGTTCAAACCACAGATACTCACCAAGGAAACCAATGGGGACTTGGGGTGGAACTCAGTGGGTAGACTGCTTGCCTAGCATGCAGGAAGCCTGGGGTGGAGGTAGTAGTCTCAGAAGCTCAGAGTGCTGCAACATTTCTTACCTAGAGAATGGCAGTCACCATGAGGTAGCTACAGATTGATCCTCCTACAACATGGCTTCAAGATGCCATTTCCCATTCAAAAACAGTGTTATTGTATCTCTAATATAACCAGTATTCCAGTGCTCAAGGGTCCCTTTTATTTGGTTCTTTTTTATGTTGCCAGCCTGGTCTCTCACTATAACAGAATACCACATAGGCTTTAAGAGGTCGGTCTAGGCACCATTACCCTGTCTGTATTTTCACAGTACCCCTGGGCCTTTGTTCATGATGGTTCCTTGGAAGACATGCATTCACATCTCCAAATCCCAACTATAGTTCTAGGGCAAACATGCGACCAAATTTATATTCTTTGGTCACGATTAAAGTGGATTTTATTACAGTGACAGGCTAAATCATGCACCCTGCCAAAGAGCCCCACACTCACATATCCTGGCAAGCGCTTTCCTGAATGATCTGTCCCAGCAGTCTATTTATTTATTTAGAGAGTGTATGTGCTATGGAAAACTGTAGCGTAAACGAAAAGGTTGACAGAAGATGCGTAAGGAGAACAGATAAATAAGGGGAAGCATGACTGAATTCATTGGCAACCATTGGAATTGTTAGTCCATGTTGATTTTTTCCTCCTCTTCCTCCTCCTTATCCTTCTTTTGAGACAGGGTCTAACATGGTCCAAGCTGGTCTCAAGCTCTCTACGTAACTGGTCTCATTTTGAACTCCTAGCCCCTCTACCTCCACCTCTTGAGTGCCAAAATTGTAGGTGTGAACCACTGCACCTGACATCTGTACTGTGTTAGTATAGGTATCTTGTACATGCCTTAGAATCTGGGCATATGTTTAAACTCATAGATTGTACACTAGTGTGGATCTCTTCTGTGTAGACTTTAAAAAGGATAAGTCATAGAGTAGGAAAAATATTTACAACACATACATGGGACATGTATTCATATATATACATATTATTTGAAAAAGTATATATATTCAAATGTAAGAATAATAAAGCAAATAATTCATTTAAAAGTGGCAAAAGATTTGAACAAACATCATAGAACATATCCAGGGGTTGAGGCTGTAGACCAGGCTGGTTGTGAACTCAGAGATCTGCCTGACCCTGCTTCCTGTGTGCTGTGATTAAAAGCAGGGGCCGCCTCACCATGCTGGGGGTTTTAGTTCAATAATAGAATGCTCATCTGGCATCAGTGAGGCCCTGGGTTCCATTCCTTGCAGTACAATATCTCTGAACAAATGCAAATTAAAACCCTAATGTGAGTTTATTAGAACTGGTAAAACTAATAAAGTCATAAAACAACGTGACACTACCACATACCAATGGAGCTGAGGCCGGAACTGGTGGGATTGCTGGTGGTAAGAGAAAATGGTTTTATCCTCTCTGGAAAGCAGTGTGTGGTATTTTCTTAAAATGTTCATCATACCACATGATCCAGTAACTGCACTTCTTCTGTTTAGCCAAGTAAAATGGAAGCATATGTTCATACAAAAACCTGGACATGAGGGATTATAGAAGCTTTATTCATAATTGCCCCGAATTGGAAACAGCCCAAATTCCAAATGTTGTTTGGCTGTTGAAAGGATAAGCTCGGCAATCCATCCATACATCTTAGCATGCCACTTGGCAAAAGGAAGGAACTACTCATATGTGCAGCAAGGACGAACTTCTCTCATTTGCATTATGCTAAGTGAAAGAAGCCAGACTCCTATACCAGATGATTCCATTATGGCTTCTAGAAGAGGGGAGTGCTCCAGGAACAGAAAGTAAATCAGTGATCCAAGGGGTCACTGAGGGTCCAAGGAGGAGTTGATTATCATCAGATATAGGAATACTTTCAGTGACAGAACTGTGTTCTGTGTCTTGATCAGGACAGTGGTCACATGGTCATATGTATATGTCACTATTCACAGATGTGCATACAGTAAAGCGTAAACTTATTGCATGTAAATTATATTGTATAGTTTTTTTAAATGTCAACAATGGTCTTCAGATCGAGGAGAACTTACATTATGAGTTTTACTATTTCCATCAAATGTGATTTCCCATCGATCCAACAAGGATTGAGTGTATATGTGTGTCATCCATCGTGTTCAGCATTTTGCAATAGAAGTTTAAGACAATCTCGAGTTGTTCATGACTATGAGGCCAGATTTTGCTGTTGAGACTTTATCTGGAGGATTACAACTGGTCATCACAAGTCTTCCCATGAGTAAGGATTCTACATCTTACATAGGTGGAGCACAGTTTTTTTGTTTTTTAAATTACAGCTGTGTTCTAATGGAGAGGGAGATGAAGAAGCCAGCCTATGAGAAATGATATCGACAAGAGTGGAGACTGGGGGTCCATGTTTGTCTCTCTTACGGTCATTCCCAAGAAGGGGAAAAGGACGAGATCTCCCAAGTAAATTGAGAGCATGGGAGAGAGGGAGGTAGGAGTAAATGGAGGGGAGAGTGGGAGAGGGGAGGAGAACATGAGGGATCAGGAAGGTAGAACTGGGGTAAGAACAGAGAAGGAGAGCAAGGAAAGAGATACCTTAATAGAGGGAGCCATTATGAGCTTAACGAGAAATCTGGCACTAGGGAAATCTCCAGGGATTCACAAGGATGACCCCAACTAAGAATCTAAGCAATAGAGGAGAGGCTACCTTAAATGCCTTCCCCTATAATGAGATTGATGACTATCTTAAATGCCATCCTAGAGCCTTCATCCAGTAGCTGATGGAAACAGAAGCAGAGTCCCACAACTAAGCACTGAGCTGAACTCCTGAAATCCAATTTAGAGAGAGGAGTGATGAGCAAAGGGGTCAAGACCATGCTGGGGAAACCCACAGAAACAGCTGATCTGAACAAGTGGGAGCTCACAGACCCCAGTCTTACATCTGGGGAACCAGCATAAGATGGAACAGGGCTCCCTGAACGTGGGTGTCAGTTGAGCAGCCTGGATAGTCTATGGGGCCTCTGGCAGTGATACAGTATTTACTCTCTCAGCCTAGATACATGGGGGAGGGCCTAGATCCTGTCCTAAATGACGTAACAGATTTTGATGATCCCCCATGGGAGGCCTCTCTGAGGAGTGGATGGGAGTGGGATGGGGGACTCATAGGGGGAGTGGGAGGATGGGAGGGAGAGAGAACTGGGATTGGTTTGCAAAATAAGTTTGTTTTTAATTTTAATAAAAAATTAAAAAAAGAATGGAGATGGAGGATGGAGGTTTTGATCCCTGGCTGTCAAATTAAGGACATACTCTAGAACAAATTGGGGGTAGCTAGAAACAAGAGTTCCTCAGTTTAGGATTTTACACATCTTTGCTACTTATAAAGAATGGCAGTATATATTTTAAATCTTGGAACCAGGTCTTAATCTGTCTCTATATCATGACTGCAGAGACAGAAAAAAAAGGGGGAGTGTGAACTGATAAATTTTAAGACACTAGAAAGGGCTGGGGTGCTTGTATTTGTTATAGCCATTCAAGCTAACCAGTAGGCACAATTTGGGGTCACCACATTCAGAAGGGATGAAAAGAGGTCTGTAAGTGTGGCCCGACAGAAGAGTGAACCTATCACGTGCAAGGCTGGGTTCCATTCCCGGAACTGCAGAAGACAAGCCCCAAGCAAAAACGTAAGGCATGATTTCCAAGTTTCAATCTCCATGGGTTAACAATGAGAGAAAACCCAATAGAAACCTGACAGGGAGGGTTGTCCCATTTTGTTTGGGGCTGCCTGTGCAAATGATGCACACAGTTTGGTTGTTTTTTTGTTTTTTTGTTTGTTTGTTTTGTTTTGTTTTGTTTTGCCCTGGGCTGCCTTGCAGGTCCTGGAACAGACCAGGCACTCCTGCTGGAGTAGCTGCTGACCTGGCCAGTGACCCAGCTGTGCCCTCAGTATGGAATGCTCTTCCCAACAGAGCTGCGTAGTTCTCACCCTTCTTTATGTAAGTCCTACCTTCTAAATGACATATGCCCATGTACTCTAAAAGCAAGCAAAACAACAACAGCAAAACCCCTGTGACCAGCCTTCTCAAGCCTCTGTGTCTGTCTCCACTTTGCTTTCCCATAGGGCTTATCATCTTCAAAGCGTTCTTGACTGCTCAGAAAGCCCGCTGTTCACTGTCAACCTCTCTCGCTAGAATGCAAGCCCAGTATCAGGGACCATTGGCTATTTTGTTCAAAGACAGATAGTAGTTGCTCCGTAGATGTCTGAGGATACAATAACAATCATTACTATTAGCATCTGCATTACCATTAGCAGATGCCAGGCCCACACACTTCTCACCGTCCCTTGATGAGGTAAGACCTGTTCCTGTTCCCACAAAGAAGAAAACAGGACCGCAGAAGGGTTATGATTGTCTGAGCCAAGGTTGCCTATGAGACTAGAAAAGGGGGTGCCAGTCGTGAAAATGCTTCTAAACTCGGAAATATGGATCCCAGAAAGCAAGAGCACACTCACCACTGGGGGCTCCAGCACGTGAAAGCCCAGAGGGTTCTGGGTTGGCAAGTCCTTGGATAGATTGTGAGAGGAAGCCATTTCAAGGAGTGCATTCTCCATGAAAACCCCTGCAAGGAAGATATGAAAAAACGTAGGGGCAAGGAAAGGACTTTTGCACAGTAATACAAGTGGAATTAAATTCAAGTTTTTAATTTCTCAATAATCAGATTCAGTTTAAAGTCACATTTTTTTAAAAAAGGTAAATGCAGGCTGAATCTCCTTTATTCCCCATTTTGGGTAAAATATACTTAAAATAAAATCCACCTAATGATCGCAAATTACTAAAATTGCTTCACGTAAGTAATTATTTTGGTTTCTGTTTTACCCTGCAGACGGGACAATTTATTATTGCTGCTAATGAATCTCTAAGAATTAATTGTTGAAATGGGATTAACAACACCATAATAGTTGGAAGAAAATCCTAATTTGGATCATGTTTTCCTAATTCCGTCAGCAGCTTCTGATTATAAAAATAGTCTCAACCCCCTTAGGCGGGACTTACTCTTCCGGTGTCTGCGGAGGGCAGCGTGACCTTTCACTGGCTTTTGATGACCGCCCTCTTGTGGCGGATAGTGAGGATGCTCGTCTAGCTCCAGGGTTCTTTGTGAGATCCCAGCCCCACGTGGTCTAGAGCATTCTGGGATCTCCCTGGTGGATGATTCCCTTGCTTTCCTTTTCCTTCTCTAGGAGTCTGCATCGCTGTTGTTTCAATATTGTATTTTGTGTGTGTGTGTGTGTGCCAACTGTCGTTGCTGTGGCCAATTTTAGTCATATAATTATTTTTCTCTTCCTGTTTTACTGAGGTTATAAGTAAATGCGAGTAGAAGAAAATCAAGTAGGTTAAAAGGATTTCTTTCCATTCACGATTCTGACTTCACTCCTTCTCCAAATGGCTGCAATTTTTTTTTGTTGTTGTTAAAAATACAAGGCAGCCGGGCGGTGGTGGCGCACGCCTTTAATCCCAGCACTCGGGAGGCAGAGACAGGAGGATCTCTGTGAGTTCGAGGCTGGGCTGGACTGATAGCCTCCGAAACAATACAGAGAAACCCTGTCTCGTAAAAAGCAAAAACAAAACAAAACAAAACAAAAAATACAAGGCAAAACCAAACGGAACCCAGGAGGCTAAGTGTGGTTAACACAAGTCTATACTTAATCTTAGCACTCAGGAGGACCAACAAGTTTAGGGCTGCACAACAAACAAACAAGTGAACAAATGCACAAACAAGCAAAAACACCGCCGTATAATACATATTTAAGCCCCAGAAACACCAGAAAGTTTGACATTGTGAGTTGTCCCATTTAGTAAGAGCCTTAAGGTAGTGGTTCTCAACCCGTAGGTCGTGACCCCCTGGGGTTGTATACCGGATATTTACATTGCGATTCATAATGGTTGCAAAATTACAGTTATGAAGTAGCAACGAAAATAATTTCATGGTTGGGGTTTACTACAACACGAGGAACTGTATTAAAAGGTCTGCTTTGACCCTTTAGGAAGGTTGAGAACCGCTGCCTTAAGGTCAAGGAGGAAGCGGTAAAGTTTGGGGCTGCCTTAAGGTCAAGGAGAAAGGGTAAAGTTTGGGACTGTAGAAGAGGAGGACGTTTGCATCAGCTCTTCTGCAGGGTCCCTCATGCGCAGACACTGTATGAAGTGCCTCTTGGAAATGAAAACACACCATTATGGCTACAGCAGAACTTATTTAATGGCTTCCATTTTCACTTTACTTAATCAAGGGACAATGCCTTTAATTATATAGAAAATATTTTATTACTTGAAAACTCTACACATGCATATAATATATTCAATATTCACCCCCATTCCTTCACCTAGCCACCACCCACTTCCCACCCCCACCTAATTTCATATCCTCCTTTTATTTCTAACCCATCCAGTCCAATTTGTGCTGCCCATCCATGAGCAGGTGTGGGGCCATCCATAGGAGTATTGTTGTCCTACTAGGGGTCACACCTCTAAAGTAAAGTGGCTGTCCTTCCCTAAGAGGCCTTCAACTGTCAAAAGCTCTCCCGTGAGAGGTGCGATCTTGGGAGCCCCTCCCTATTTCATGATGGAGTATCTACTGGCTTAATCTTGGGCAGCCACAGCTGCTATGTGTTCATGAGTGCCATATCCGGGAGACACTGTTTCACCCCCCCCCGCCCCAGCAGGGTGGTTCAGTCTTCATTGCTCCCTCTTCCATGCTGCTCCTGAAGCCTTGTGGAGCAGGATGTGGTACAGCTGTCGATTTGTGGTTGCACACGGAGGCTGTCTTAGGTGTGATTCACGGCACACTGAAACCGGCTTGAATCTCTAGGATCAGAACTGGAGACTGAGCTCCTAGACTTAGCAGTTGCGGTGGTTTGAATGGGAATGGCTCCCACAGGTTCACAGGTTTGAATTCTTGGTAGCTAGGGAGTGGAACTATTTGAAAGGACTAGGAGGTGTGGTCTTTTTGGAGGAAGCACATCACTAGGAGTTGGCTTTGAGGTTTTAAAAGCCCATGCCAAGCCCAGAGTCTCTCACGTGGCCAGTGGGTCAGGATGTAGCTCTCAGCTACTTCCCCAGCACCATTTTTTCCTGTGTGCTTCCCACCATGACAATGGACCAAACCTCTGAAACTCTAAATAAGCCTCAATTAAATGTTTTCTTTATAAGAGCTGCCTTGGTCGTGATGTCTCTTCACAGATAGAACAATGACTAAGACAGGAGTCTGACCCTGGGCACCTTGTCACCTCTTGGTGCAAATAGATGGCATTCCCCACTCACTTGAGTCAGGTGACTCAGAGGAGGTAATAATGGGAGAGGCTGGTCTGCAGCCTTTCATCTGAGGATCTTCTTCACCACCCACTCATCGCCCATTTTCATAATGTGTTTAGGAAGACAAGCAGCTCTGAAACACCAGGTGGATGAGACACAACACACTGAAAATCATTCGCTCTGTGCACCAGATTTTCCCATCATACTCTGTGTCTGAGTGGTTTGAGGCTATCTGAATAAGAGCAAATAGATTTAGAATTGCAATATTGTCTAGGTTAGTTGAAGTCTTTAAACATATCGTTATCAGTCAGCTTCTAGCAATGTTTACCCGAGAGTCTGTTTTATTTGTTAATGCCTCAGGTACATTAGCTGTCCTTGGTTAATATTAGTGGCTTGATTCAGGTTTGTAATTCCAAGTTTGCAATTCTGGAAACCAAAGTTCTGAAAACAAAATGTTGCTTTTGTAATTCTCCTGGCAGCAAACTCTGTTCTGTGTCCATGAGGCACTATTTGTAACCTATTATTTTACTTAGTATGGTTATGTTATTTTTCCAGAAATGCTACTGTGTTTGAGCATGGAGAGCCCCCTCAGCCCAGTGTTAATTTTTACATAGATTAATCTGCCTTAAACATATATGTGTCTAGGGTTTGAGTTAAGAGTTGTGACTCTCTTTGTATATACAGTCTGTATTCTTATGCATCACATACGGATCTTTAGGTTGTGTTTCATAGGATTTGCTCCTAATGTAACAAAGTCAACTATTATTTATCCATGTATTTGTTACTTGTTTTGAAGCAGGGTTCTCCATGTCCAGACTGACCTCAAAATCTCAGCCACCTTCCTGCCTCAGCCTACCAGAGACCTGGAATCCCTTATACCCCATATCAATATACAATCTTTATTTTCTTTATTTTATCTATCTATTTATTATGTATACAGTGTTCTGCCTGCATGTATGCCTGCATGCCAGAAGAGGGCACCAGATGGTTGTGAGCCATCATGTGGTTGCTGGGAATTGAACTCTGGACCTCTGGAAGAGCAGCCAGTGCTCTTAACCTCTGAGCCAGCTCTCCAGCCCAATATACTATCTTTAAAATGGAGGATTAAATAGGCTTGAATCTCTTTTGATGTATTTGCTTTTTCTTCTTCCTCCTTTTTTTGCTTTCTGGATATACCACCTTGTCTCCCTTTTCTTCCTTTTCAGGGTCTGGTGGAATGACTGGACACCCTTTCTCCCCCTTTTCCTAACATTTTGATCAATTATGCAGGATGCTGGCCCTCATTATTATTCTTATGACTAGTTTTGAATTTATTTAACTTACAATATCCAAAACAAATCAATTTTTATTGAGATTAAAACTAGCCTTTCGGAGATGGCAAGATGGCTCATGGGTAAATGTACTTGCTGCCAAGCCTTCTGACTTGAGTGCAATCCCCCTAACCAAAGGAAGAAAAATGACTCCACAAAGTTGTCCTTCCATGTGGGCACACACACACACACACACACACACACACACACACACACACACACAGAGGGAGGGAGAGAGGGAGAGAGGGAGAGAGAGAGAAGACAGTTTTGTGTGAACGTGTGAACTTGACATAAGCTCTAGTCATCTGAAATGAGGGAACCCCAATTGAGAAAAAGCCTCCCTAGCAGCAGTTCACAACTTGTGGGTCATGACCACTTGAGGTTTGAAGGACCCTTTCACAGGGGTTACCTAAGACCAACAGAAAAACACAGATATTTGCATTATGATTCATAACAGTAGCAAAACTATAGTTACAAAGTAGCAACAAAATAATTTTATGGTTGGGGTCACTGCAACATGAGGAACTGTATTGGGAAGCCTGCGAACCACTACTCCTTAAGATCAGGCTGTATGACATCTTTTTAATTAGTAATTGGGTAGGAAGGTCCAGCCCATTAGGCTCTCCCTGGGCAGGTGGTCCTGGGTTCTGTAAGAAACCAGGCTGAGCAAGCTATGATGAACAAGCCAGTAAGCAGCACCCCTTAGTGGCCTCTACATCAGCTCCTGCCTCTAGGATCCAGCCCTGCTTGAGTTCCTGTCCTGACTTCCTCCAGTGATGAACTATGATATGGAGGTGTGAGTGAAATAAACTCTTTCCTTCCCGAGTTGCTTTGGTCATGATGATTCATCATAGTAATAGTAACCCTAAGACACTAAGTAAATGTAAAAAAAAAAAAAAAAAAGGAAGAAGAAAAAAGAAAAATAGTCCTTTGCTTCAACCATGCCAAGCCATGCTAGTGTTGTAGTTCTGATCACACTCTGCCCACTTCTGTGCTATTGTCTACTATACTCGTCTTATTTATTTGTATCCTAGCTGGCCTTGAACTCACGATGCATTGGCCCAGACGTACTATCATCCTATCATCACCACCATTCAGGACTTCTACTGCTGTTTCTGCTTCTGCTTCCCTCTTCTGCCTTCCTCCTCCTCCTCCGCTCTCCCTCTCCTCCCCTATCCACTCCTTACCTCCTCTTCTTCCTCATCCGTCCCCCTTTTCTTCCTTGATGCAGGGTCTTGCTGGCTTAGAACTTGCTATGAAGACCAGTCTGGACTTAAACTTCAGTTTCCAAGCACCTAGCGGGTGCAGGTGTATGCCGTCATATCTGGTTTGTATTTTCTTTTTGTTAAACTTATTACTGTTGTATTCATGTCAATGCTATTTTACATGGATTATTTTGTTAATTGCATTTTAAACTTTTCATTGCAGGAATATAGGAACACAATGAAGTTTTGTACATTGGGTTTTTATCTTGTGACTTGCTGAGTTGATTTATCAGGTTTTTGTTGTTTAGAGAAATTGTA